TTCACCGCAGGGTCCACACACCTTATTTATGACGTAAATCAACGCTGCAAAGCTGTTGTAAAAATTCCAATACTCCTTGATAATATTCTCCTCGTCTTTACGATCCTGTAGGCGAAAACGGTTCGTCGTTTGGACGTCGAACGAACGAAATACAGCCAATATACGAAATCTGTCAGTTCTCGAAATTCCAAGTACTGTATATAAAATTTTCCAGTCAAACGGGTCGTTGACCCTTCCTATGGAAAAATTCCGTCCAGGTCCTCAAACTTTTTGATTTGACAGAAACAGTACCTGACTTTCAGAAACTGACAGTTCTACGTGGCCAACTTGCGAGGCTCGTTTCTCCCTCGTCCGATATCGAAAATTGATTCCGTCAAAACGTGCGTGCTCATGGGATTGTCCTCTTCGTAACGGTACCAACCACTCACAGAATGGTTGAGGTCGGAGTTGACGTCGTCGCCGTCACGGGATACTGACGAAACTCCGGCGAGGCTCCGACAAGGCTTCAACGACGCCTCTAGCTTCGTGGGGGGACCTCCCCAGACCCTTATGGTGACCTCTCAAACCCAGAACACCCAGAACCTCTCCTTATCTCTCTATTTCATTCCTTCCTTTAGTTGGGACTTACCGTTGTCGAAAGAACTTCCATTCTATATATATATACCCAACAACAGACACATCCTTTAATGGGTTGGTCTATGGTGGTTGGTTAATAAATTTTGGATCCAATCTCTAATGCACAGCTCATGGAATGGAGAGTCATTAAGGTTTGTTTATAAAAAATATGAATAAAGGACGTGGCCCTCTTCCTTCCGTGCATTTGCATATATATAGGAAAGATGCTGCTGTCCATTTGCTTTTAACCCATAATGGGTTCTTTACTTTGTGGACAGAGACCACGTACAGGGAACTTCGTTCCTTTCTTTAGAATTTGATCTCGTCAAATAGTAAGTAATAATATTTACTATGAGACTTACACACAAGTAGTGTGCAGCCCAATTGGTAAATGGTGATGATTGTGTACCTTTAGGTTGCTGGTTTGAATCTTGGTGGTGAACACATTTTTTTATCACATCAGAATCTGTCAACATCTGAGCTCACTAGTTCGTATTTTCGCCCTTATTATAATTCGTTCATGCCATATTTATTCTCTCGATTTTTCACGTCTTTAATTGACGAGTACTCGTAGTTCTTCGAAACCGGTAGAATTCATTTAAACTATTGTTGGTGTTCTTTGTTCCAACGTCGAACCGGTTTGATGTGAGGTTTAACCCAGATACGGGATGTTACAGTGACCGTGAACTCACCTTGCGTTAGTAACCTCCGTTTTGGCTCTCGACGATTCGCGATTCACAGTCAAGGGATCTTCTTCACGGCCGTGCAAGACCGTGAACTTCCTTGTATAGCCGTGAACTGGCCCTTTTTCACCTCTTCTCCCAGTTTTCGATCCTTTTCGTCCAACTTTCAACTCCGAGGCTGGTTTAACCCAGATACGGGATGTTACAGTGACCGTGAACTCACCTTGCGTTAGTAACCTCCGTTTTGGCTCTGGACGATTCGCGATTCACAGTCAAGGGATCTTCTTCACGGCCGTGCAAGACCGTGAACTTCCTTGTATAGCCGTGAACTGGCCCTTTTTCACCTCTTCTCCCAGTTTTCGATCCTTTTCGTCCAACTTTCAACTCCGAGGCTGGTTTCACCTGTTAAACCCTGAAACACACTAAAACACGAGGAACCTAGGGTAAAACCAACCTTTTAGGAGTGAAGTTGCCACAGACACCTAAGTAAAACGGGGTAAAACATGTACAATTAGGCCCGAATCAGAAATTTTGGCCATCTCACGGTTTTGTTGTGCATCTCTTGGCTTAAGTCGTGAGATGGCCTCCCATGTCATTAGGTGGCTCTGCCTTCACTTCTTGCCACGTTTTGACATCTGATTATTTCGAAACTCACTCATAAGCTCCATTCACTTACTAGGACCTGAAATAGGACAAAAGAAACACAAACTAGCGTGATATAGCCCAAGGAACAACTAATAACAAGTCAAAACTCCATTATCAAAATAGAATCTTTGAGTTTTACTTAGTTGACGGGCTCAACATCACAATGGTGATATCCAACTTATGGAAGTGATCTTTATCTTGCGTCGGCCTTTTTGGTTGTGCGTTGGACTGCCAGACCTTATGCTTTGTTGTTTCTTATGTTCATAGCTAAAGGATGAGTCACGACCATGACCTGTTAACCGTGATTTAGTTCACAGCTTAACCTGCTCTTAACATACCCTTAATATGGCCATGAAATGGCCAAAACTCCTCTTTTCTTGCTCATATGCTTTGCCGAAGTGCCTAAATGAACCCCAAATCAAACCCCAAACAAATGATGATGAGTATAATACCTGAAACATCATAAAACTCCAATCAATCATAAAACATTAAAAAAATAAGGTAGTTTACCTACGAAAAACACTCAGATCTGCATAACTCATGCTAAATCTTATCTCTTATAAATATTAACTCATATTAGCATTAAATGGTTCACAATGTGGCCGAAGTATGAGGATTTTAGTATACAAAATCCTAAATAATGTTGGTAAAAAGTGATCGATTTAGGCGTTATATCACTATAAGAAAATACATTTTCAGTCACGGGATCGTTATGTCACGGGTATACTCCCATGATGGAAAGTAAATTATTTATCACAATACAAATTACTGTGACCGTTAGTTGCTAAACAATAATTTGAGATGCGTTCCATGACAAGGGAGCAGATCAGGTCAGTAACCCATCAGTAACCCCTTATCCTGTCCCCACGTGTCAATCCCCTTTCTTATTTAAATTAAATGCGAAAGGGCAGTAAGGTGAAATTGCACTTACCCCTATTTATTGTTGACGCTGACTTTTGACCGGACCATATCAGTGTCTCCTTCTCTCTCATCGAAAAACCTTTAATTTTCCTTCCCGTAATCTTTAACGAACGATTTCTCACTTGTTTTAGTCGGAATTTAATTTTTTTGCACAGTTAGATCAGATTAATTGTGCTCTTCAAAATGATATCCACTTTGAATTTTTTGGACACAAAAATTTATCAGTTATTACCAGTCTATACCATATTGTATTGACTGGTATTAAATAAGAGCATACCATATGGTATGAAAAAATTTGACACATTAATATATATTTCGTTACCACCCAATACCATATGGTATAGTGTGGTAATATCAATATATATTTCGTTACCACCCAATATCATATGGTATAGTGCGGTAATATCAATATATATTTAGTTACCACACAATACCATATGGTATAGTGCGGTAATATCAATATATATTTAGTTACCACACAATACCATATGGTATAGTGTGGTAATATCAATATATATTTCGTTACCACACAATACCGCATGGTATAGTATGTTAATATCAATATATATTACCTAAAAGAAAAAAAAACAAAAGGAGGGAGAGGAAAAAAAACTCGTCTTCTTTCCCGTCTCATTTCCTCCGTAATCAAGAACGCCAAACGCCAAAAAAGGAGAAAGACCGAAATTGAGGCCAATGAGTTGATGAAGAGAAGAAACGCGATGAAAGAGGGTGGCTGCAATTTTTCTTCGTCGATTGCTAGAGAAAAAAAAAACGAAAAAGAAGAGAAAGAAGCAGATCTAGATATGGAGAAGGAGATTGAGAAAGAAAAAAGGAAGAGAGAAAGAGAAAGAATCTGAAAAGGAGATTGGGAGAGAAGGAAGTGGGAAAGAGAAAGGAGAGTGGCAGAGAAATGATTCTCTCTCCTCCTTTGGCAAGACAACTATTAAAAGTGGTCTTTTTTTTTGAAAATATAGCCATTAAAATTGGAATATAATAAAAATAAAAATTTATAAACGAACAAAAATACCCTCTGGACCCGCATTCAGCCAAGTCGCATGATGGATCCGTCCCCTAGATCTAGGCATGCGTGCAATTACTGATAGGTAAGTGGTTACTGACTCTATTCTAGACACGTGACAATGGACTGATGGGCCGGAAGCAAGGTTGTCAAACCGGTTTATGTCGGTGCGCCGGTTTCGTAAGTGGAATGGTTCTACCGTGGTACAACTAGTTCATGCACCGGTTTATGCCGGTTTTACAAAAATTAACAAATATAAATTTAATTATCTTACTTTAAGATAATATTTCTAGAATCTATATCCATCTTTAAATAAAAAATGATAGAAGTGTCATTACTTGTTAGCAATGTTGTCAGAACCGAACCGGAGCATGACCCGGTAATGCGAACGGCTCGCACTTTAGCGGTCCAACCGGCATTAGACAGTTTAAAAACCGTTAGAGAACCGGTATCTAATAAACGTTATCAGTATAAATAGGGGACATTTCTTAATCAGAGCTCATCTCTTTCCTTCGAAATTGTGAAATGGAAATAAGGATTCAATTTGAGAGCCCGACGTTTTTGTTTATTTCAATTTTCAATTTTCTACAATTTTTTTAATTAAATTTAGTGGCTGAATGACAAAAACCGGACGAGCGGCTTGATCGGCTCGAAGGGTTAACCGCCTCGGCCGCTCGCCAACCGCTACATAAAACCGGAGCGGCTTTTAGACTGTTTCGAGCCGGTTTTGTGACCGGGTGGCGGTTTTACCGGTCGGGCCGAGCGGCTCGACTTTAATAACACTGCTTGTTAGTTATTATATTGAGAATTATTATTGTTATTTCTAGTATTTTTTGGATTTTATACGATTTGGGATGATTGAGAATATTTTAGCATAATAGTCAATTAAAGTAGTTGTTAGGCTAATTAGTAGGATTTCATTGTGAGAGTTTATTAAATAAATAATTCCCTAGACCTACTCTGCCTCTCGTCTCCAAGCCAACCCTCTCCCAAATTCCCCTTCCCTGCGTGTTGTTCTCTTCCCTTTGTCTAATCAAGTTCTAACTAATTATCCCTTCTTTTTCCATCTCAATTCTAACTGATAATCCCCAAATCTACAATCCTATTTCACCTCTGGGCCTCATCATCGGTAGCTGAAGCTGGCCGGAGGACGCTCAACGAAGACGGGAAATTTGAAGTTTGTTGGCTGATGCGCCACAACAATAGGAGCAGCGACCCAAGCTGGGAAAGGAGACAGAGTCGCTATTGTGGAGGTCTTTTTGGGTTGGAGCGCGACGGATATGGATCGGCGATGTGGTGGTCGTTGGTCGTCGATGGAAACAGGGAGCACGGCGTCTAGCATCAATCAATTTCCGGAATTAAACTTCCCGGTTGGACCACCCGGAATTCCCGAATTTGACCGGTGTTGACCGATATTGACCAGGCTATCATACCGATGACATTCCAGTCGGTTTCATGACCGGAACCGGTTGAACCAGTTTTAACCGGCCGACATTTTTTAAGAACAAAATCAAGAAACACGTACATCTCCTCCGTCCCTTTGTTCAAGGTCCTCCTCTACTGTTCTTCAGCGATTCCCAGAGGCTCCGACCTCCGCTCCCACGGCAGCTCGCCACCCCAATCCTTTCCCCTCGCCACTATCAACACTTTGCCAACATTATCTCCAAATCTCACCCAAATCCCTCTTCCTTCCAACTAGCTATCGTCTATCATCCCCACTTCTTCGATGCCGTCAATCTCAGCGATATTGACCACCATAGAGAGACAAGTGTGAAGAAGTACAAATCTCCAGCCACCTCCATCTCACCACGACGAAAACGAAAATGACTAGCTGGGAACCCAAACTCGGCCGCCTGAAATTGATGCACCAGATAATCACAACCCCGCCAAGCCAACCACCAGCCACAGCTCTTGCGGCATCTTCCGAGCTTCGACAACCTTGGTCGGCATGAAAGGCAAGTCCTACCAGCCCCAAATCAATCGAATCCCCAGCCTCACCCTCAAACCCCTCTTATCCTCAATCACCTGGCCTGTTGGAATCTGAAATCCAATCATGTACTTGAGCAAATAAAATTTCCCTACCATATCAATTTCTGGACGCGACGTCTTCTCTTATGCTCACTGAGGACGAAATTTTCAACATTGAGCTACACAACCCGAGGCCTAGGCCAAGTCCAATGCAAAACCCCAAATTTGGGGGTCTTGAACTCCAAATTTGCGGATTGAACGCCATTTTCTCTTCTTTTGTTCCAATGCAACAAACTCCATATTTGGGGTTCTTAATATTTCCAGTTTTTTCATTTACTTAAAAATGTACTTATTGTAGCCTTAATATAATTTATTCATGTTAATTTTTGTATAATTCGTCATCATTTTTTAATACAAATTTTCGATAAAATTTTGTTAAATTTCGAGTCCGAATTTTTTTGACAAAAAATTATGTACCTAATTTGGGTTTACACACAACAATTGAAAATGATTGATATAATTAAATCCCTAACTAATTCCCTAATTAAACTCTCAATTAACCCCTAAAATCTTAAAATGAAAAAGAAAAGCCACGTGGCGGGCTTTGGTCAGCCTCTATATTTGGGAATTCCCATTTCCATCTCCAAATTTGGGGTTCTATATGCAGGATCCTCCATTTATGGAGGCCCAAACCTCCCCATTGGACCATCTCCTCCTTCATTTTTGCAGATTCCCCATTGGACTCAGCCTAATCCCCAATTCCTCTTGTCGGGGTAGTCAATTCTGCCTCTGGCACTGTAAACTGCTCGTGTCTAGATGAAACCACTCTTTGTTGGTAACTTCTCTTTGTCAATCTGCTGATTTAGATGTGGCCGGATCGATTTCCTTCAACAATTATGCCTCTGTGATTGAAATTTTGAAAATGTTGGAGCTTCTACCGTTGTGGAGAAAATGAAACCCTCTATTTATCATTCTCATTTATGTTTATTGTTTCAGATGCTCGAAGAACTCTCTGTTGCATCTCCTGGGCGATTTTCCATGATGACTTCTAGTTCTTCGGAGAGTGGCAGTAGAGGTATTGGTTGTATTTTGCCTAATGCCTAGTTTAATATGTTCCGTGTTTTTTTCCGTGTTATATTTTTGTTTTTTTTTGAAATTACGTTGCTGATAAATATACGATCTCCCATCAAATTCAAGCTTTCACCTTCAATAAAGTCTTTGCTGAAGAGGAATGTCACTATGTTTGCTGCAGGTTTTAGGACCAGTTCGAAACAGACATACATGCTGCCTCAAATGCAACCTCAATCGCAGGCATCTGTGAGTGGTTTGCCAGCTCTACACGTGTTTCCAATCAGCAAGAGAGGGGATGTTGCAGTTGTTAAGGGTAAGGAGGAGTCAAAGAGCTTGGAAGGCCAAGATGAAGTAAGCTCGGTGTTGAGTAAGTTTCATAATCTGAAACCTTGATGAGAGTTTGGAGCTTCTAGCAGAAGGTCGATATGATAGTGGCTGTACTTCATCAGATTAAGGACCTGGAGAAGCAAGTAAAGGACTGTAAGGAGTGGGCACATCAGAAGGCGATACAAGCTGCTAGAAAGCTGGCTAATGATTTGACAGAGCTTAAAATGCAGACCAGTGGTTTGACAGGGCAAATGCAATTGAGAGGCAGCTCGAGACCGAGAATGCAGAGATTAGAGCCAATAAGGAGGTCTCTAAGTTAAGTTCTTCTGAGCCAGTTACGACGTGTTTGGAAGCTGCAAAGAGGGAGAAGAAGTGTCTAAGAGGCTTTTGGCTTGGGAGAAGCAGAAAGCTGAGCTGCAGGATGAGACTGCTTACGAGAAAGAGAATATCAATGAGTTGCAAAGGTGTCTGAGCTTGGTCGAACAAGCAAAGAAATATGTTGAGGTTTGTTAATTACTGTCTACCTTGTGTGTTATCAATTTAACCTCCTCAAATTTAATTAGGTTATGAATTTAACTTGATAGAAAGTGGTGAGTATGTGATGTGAATGAGGTCTTGATTCATGAGGCTTTATTTTAGTTTTTTAATGGTGGATATGCTGGAGACAAGTTTGTTTGTTGAACCATGTCGTTTTAACTGTTGGTATTACTTGAACCTACTCAATTTAATTAGGTTAGAATTTAACTTGATAGAAGTTGGCGAGTATGTGATATGAATGTGGCCTTGATTCATGAGGCTTTCTTCTGGTTTTTTACTGGTGGATATGCTGGAGACAAGTTGGTTTATTGAAGCATGTCATATTATCAAGTCCAGTTTCCCAATTAAAACTCCCTAAAAAAATGCAGGACATTTAGCAGGTCGAACTAGAGCCGGGTAATATCTTATGATTCAAATCCACAAATTATGAATGGTGTATATCATAAAAACTCCATGTACCTCTTTCTTTGTTTCCTCTATCGTCTTCTTCATTGTTTATCCCTTTATCCTCTGACCCTCTCTAATGAGGAGTAGTCATTTACTGTTTAGTGAATATCTTGTCCTGACTAGGGATGACAACAAAACCCGAACCCACGGGTACCCACTCGATCCAAACCGGTCAATGCGGATAAAATCCTTGTTGACGGGTTTTGGGCCGAGTTCGGGTTTAAACCCGCTACACTATTCACCGGGTTGGGTCTGGTTTGGGTTTAGATAAACCCGCCCCATGGGTACCCGCCCACACATATAATTACTTTCCCGGTATATTTAATATTCTAAATAATATATCTTCCTTAAACAACTAATATTCTTTATGTTTGTGGAAACATGTATAATTTGTTCTTTCTAATTGTTTAGAATGAAGTTGATATTATAGAGTGGAGAGTGAAGAAATTTATTTGACGAGGAAGAAGCTTTTCATTAATCTTGTTGTTTATAGATGTTTATCTTTAATTTTAAACAATTTGTATTGATCGTTTCCGGTTTGTTTGTATGTTCTAGATTGATGTTTTTTTGTATGAATAATTTGTATGAGAAAATGATGTTAAACTTTTATTTTGAAAGAAATTTGTTATTGTAAATTTTTTACCATAAAAACCCACGGGTACCCAGCGGGTTGGGTTGGGTTTGAGTTTTTCAAACCCAACGGGTTTTACCCGGGTTTTTTTTACGGATAAACCCATGGGTTTGGGTTTGACAAAACCCGCTCCAACCCGACCCATTGCCATCCCTAGTCCTGACATTGATTGTCGAAGTATGCATGGCTGGTTTGTCCATAAGGCTTATAGTCCAGTTTTTGGGCAGAGCTGCAAGCGTAGCAGATGTTGGTACGTTTTGGTGTTTTGGTCAGTGGCGGACCTAAGGCAAGGGAGGGTGTGTCGTCCGACACACCCTCGCTCGAGAATTTTGTGAAGGACCTACATATTTTTTGTACAAATTTTTTTATTTCGAGATAGCCGACACACCTTCATTATACTCGAAGAATTTATCATCCGAATAAATCAATCTTAATAATAATCTTTTTAATTTTGTTTAAAATAACTCATAAATCATAATCCTATCAATTCCTATTAAAAAAAACTCTCAACCCATACAATATACATGTGTGATGTGTGTTGCGCCTCGGCCTACACTTAAAAAAGAAAAAAAAACCCACAAGCCTAATGGCCAATAGCCCAGGCGGCCACTAACTCCCCATCATTACCTGTTGCAACGACAAGCTGCGAAAGAATATTTTTAGTTATGAAGATAATCAAGAATGATCTTCGAAATCGGTTGAGTGACCAATTTATGAATGATTGTTTAGTTGTGTATATTGAAAAAGATTTTCTTTGCAGTATAAGTGATTAATGTATTTTAGAGACATTTTAGCAGATGAAAAGTCATTGCGATTCGTTGTAAACATGACATTGTGAACTTTATCAACAATTTTTTTTAATTTCTACTTAATTATTTATTTATTTAATTTAATTATTATTTTATTTTATCGGCGACACACCTCTCTGACAATCCTGGGTCCGCCACTGGTTTTGGTAATCTGCAATGATAGGAGTTCTTATACATAGTTTACTCATGCTTTTATGTTGATATTTTTTGGTGTTTTGGTGATCTGCAATCCTCCGGATGTTGCTGTTAGTATCTTTTCAAGTTTTCCATTGTTGTAGAGGGCAAAACTCCATGAAACTACCTAAACATGAATTATGTCTAACTATATTGGAGTTTGAGACGTATTGGTTTCTGATTTGTTGAACTTTTTACAGCTTGCAGATAGCGTCAACATGGATAGACCGGACGAAGAATGTTGACACACTAGAGGAAGATTTAGTTCATGAAAAGTATTTACGATTGCAATTTGTAACAAGAACAAGTTATATTAGGCTACTTGAGTGCTCTGTAGAGGAACATTCATCAGTTCCTTCTACTTGTAAGATGTTTGTATTTACATTACGAGACTTAAATTTATAAAATGTCATTGAAATACATTCATTTATAAGATTATTGATAAACATATTTTAATTTCTTAACAAAAATATAATTATGTAAATATAATATGATAATTTCATAGTGACTAGTATTATCTATCACGGGGTTCTTGTGACCATTGAGATCAAAGTCGTTGCTCTAGTTCGATCACTATCACTACAATCCCATGGCATTTATATATAATCCTGTGACAAATAATCTCATTCGTCACGGGGTATCCAATGACTATTTCATAATTTTATCATGGTAATTTTTCCGTGTTTAAATATTAGTCATGGGAATTACCGTGACAAAATAAATCTTATGTCACAGAACTTTCCCATTATTTTATTCTTTATTGTCACAGGATTTCCCGTGATTTGACCTTTGATCACAGGATATATCGTGACAAAAGCTTTTTTCACGGGATTTGGTTGTTCAGTCACGGGAAATCCCGTGATCGAAAGTGATTTTTCCTGTAGTATATGATTGAAGGCATTTACACAAATCTTTCCACTCACTATGATCCAATTTCCTACCCTTTTTGGTGGACCTATCCTATAGAGATGGACTAGGGTGCATGCGAATAGTTAACCATTTATGATGTCACAATTATCATTTTCAATATTATATATCAAATCTTTTATCATCAATGGTCTACATGAATCATACAAGTTTCTCGTGTTATCATAAAGGTTATTTTTATCAAGCTTGCTTTATCGTATATTCATATGAACACAACTGGAAATATAAGTATTGATGAAAAAAATAGCAAAGTAAATAAATACCAACCATAACTTAAAATATTCATTCAAGCATTGTACATCATAGTCTTTCGTACCTCTAGAGTTCACAAAGCCACACAACAAATCAAACTAGCCACTTATTGGGGTAAAACTGTCAAGGCATCAGCTTGGGAGAAAATAAACCTAAATTTTGTGAAACATTATGATATGATCCCAAATTGCCAACCATTCACGTCACAATTACTTGACAAAGAAACTATCGAAGTTGAGAAGACGAAAGACAGAATTTGGTTAAGTGTTGGAACAGTTTCGAGATTCCTACTTTGGAGGCATGGTTCTTACAATTGGCTCACTGAAAATTGGAGTTCATTGGCAGATAAAGTCATTAAGGTTGTTTTCCAAGGCCTCAAAGTTGCTACCTTAAAACATGAAAACTGCCAGAATCTGCCCAAGTATAAATATGTGTTCATGAAGCCTACTTTGGAGCTCAATTCGAGGATCATGGAAGGGATTCGAGCCCAACGGCTTCCACAACATGAAACTAGGTATGTTTGTGTACAAAGTGAAGGAATTGGATGAAGAATTGGAGTTCTGGAAGGCCTCAAATGAAAGACCCAAAGTTAGTACGAAAGCTGCTTTTGGACTGTTTGGACTGTTTGCCGAGCTTGTGTATCGATTGAATAGTCCCTTCAATCATGGTCGAGCAACTACCCTTCCATTCCATACGAGCTTCCCCCAGGTGTGGAATTGTCCGTTGGTTCCGTTTTATCCCAATTTCGTTAATAACACGTTGTTCTTGATCCGAGTTCAATCGATTCATCGATTGAATTGTTAGCTGCATTACTGTGATCACATACAACCCCCCCTCCCCCAGGGACGTATTAAGGGGTATCGGAGCCCCGTTCTACACAAGGGCGAAGGAGAAGAAGAAATCGATTGTTTTGGTACAAGCAGAATTCGGTTCAAAACAGGGCAACCCCTGTTCGTGTCTTATAGCTGTTGTTATGGATTTGAATTTCGATGGTAACTTCAGTTGATGTAAAGGCGATGGAAGAAGGCAGAAGAGAGGCCAGTAATCTGAAATTTCATGGCCAAGAGCAGCGACCAGCAGCTCGAGTTCAACATCAGGAATCCGACAAGCAGAGAGACAACTTATTTCACAGGAGATGTGTTGTCAATGGGAAATTATTATCGCTGGTGATCAATGGAGGCTCCTGTGCAAATATTATGAGCCTAGACGATGTTCAGAAGCTTGGATTGACGATGCAAAGGCAGGCCTTATCAATTCAGTTGGATCAATGATCACAGAACAATTAACATAACGAAGCAAGGTGTAGTTCGTTTTCAAATCGGCAGCTACTAAGACGAGGTAAATTGTGACGTTGTATCGATGAATTGTGTTAATATGGTGCTGAGAATATCGTGGAAATTTGATCTCCAAGTTTCTAATGATTGTCGAACCAATAAATTCAAATTTTCGCATCACGGTAGAAAGGTAGTTATGAAACCTTTTTCGTCAGATGAAGTTTATCGCGATTTGAAGTAGATGGAGGAGAATAGGAATGAGGGAAAGAGCATACGAGCTCAATTATGGGTGCAGAGACGTATTGGACTTAATTTCACGGGCTTTTAAAAGCTTCCATAGGTCGTCTCAGAGTCAGACCCCATTCCCTATCCAGACCTCTATTTAGCGACGAAAAAACAGAGTTCAAATTCTGTTTGTTCTGTCGGCGACGAGGGAGGAAGACCAGACCACGCCGACGCTTTCAAAACGACCCTAGAGAGTGACGGGAGGCCGGAGAACCAAGGAGGAGGTCCGGAGCAGGTTACCGACGGATGACCCGTCCTAGTGACGAGAGCAACAGTGATCTTTCCCGCAAAATAGAGCAGGAGAGAGAACGAATTGGCGGGAACATCCGTAAAGAGTTGAAACTCGTAGACGGTGCCGATACAATCCCCACGACCCCGACAATGTTAGAAGATGCACCATTAGAGACGACCATACCTGAATTTGAAGAATCCGATCGCGTAAGAATGCCTCTATTTGTGAAGGAGACAGCAGACGAAGACCCTCTCGTGCACAGAGCGATCGAGCTCAAATCGAACCAAATTGGAGTGAAACCCCCCAATTTCAACTTTGAAAATTTGGGTTTCAAATTGGCCGATGGGGGGGAAGGAAGTGGAGCAGATTCAATGACGACGGTGATGAATGGAGACTGGGAACATGCCCAAAATTACAATCGGAGGCGTGGCAAACCTCATGGAGCAATCGAATTGGATTGGGGATGCTTCAATTTAAATCCCCCAATTCCGATCAATTTCCTGCAAAATTGGTCGACGAGGAAGGTCTGTTTGAGTTAAGGAAGAGTGTCCAACTGCCCTGCAAGTTTCAAAGTCCCTGGAGAAGCTTGAAGGTGAGTTTGCAGCTGTAATTTTTCTACCGAAAAAGATGATCTAGCAGCCCTCTTTCTATCCAAATTGGGATCAATTCTGCAAAACTTTTGCCAAGAGGAAAGATCCAGCTTTGAGGACAAAGTTTTTTAAAAAGGGGATCCTTATATGATCTCCAATTGCCAACCATTCACATCACAATTACTTGACAAAGAAGCTATCGAAGTTGGGAAGAAGAAAGGCAGAATTTGGTTAAGTGTTGGATCAGTTTCGAGATGCCTACTTTGGAGGCATGTTTCTCACAACTGGCTCACTAAAAATTGGATTTCAAGGTCTTTTTTAAAGCTATAGTTGCGAGCTTGTGTATCGATTGAATATTCCCTCCAATCATGGTCGAGCAACTACCCTTTTATACCATGCGAGCTTTCCCTAGATGTGGAATTGTCCGTTGGTTCCGTTTTATCCCAATTTCGTTAAGAAAGCGTTGTTCTTGCTTCGAGTTCAATCGATTCTTCGATTGAATCGTTAGCAGCGTTATTTTGATCATATACAACCCTACGGTGTATTACATTATCCTTTATCTGAAATGGTTCCCTAGCTGCCAAAAATGGTGACAAATCCAACCCTTGGAGTTTCTGGATGATTTAGGATTTTGGAGTTTGTTTGGACCTAGAGTAGCCCCTCTATAAAAGTTGTGTGCAATGTAGAGCCCGATAAATCTATTTATAGGGTAAAATCAAGTTTTTGAAAAGGTTTTGTAAATTGAACTAGAGTGGAGTGGTCGCGCTCCGTTGCGGGCATGGACAACATTGGGCTTCTTTTCTTGTTCAAGCCCGCTATATTTTCATGTTTCCTAGAAATTAGTTTGGCCCATTGAAGTAAGGGTAATGTCTATTTTTTATCCAAACCTTTTTCAGATTCTTTTATATTATCCAACCTATCGAAATATTAAGAATTAACTAAATGTTAACTTTCAGTTAGCAATTTTGTTAGTAACATGGACTTGGCAACATGATACTGACTTCGAAGAGACACATAAAGGTCAACATTCCAAAAATTTTGTATTTTAACTATGAAAAGAGTTATAAAATTTTTAACAATAACGTAAAAATGGCTAATATTTTGATGCATTATGAAAGATTTGGCTAATTAATAAAATTTCAATAGATTTGGATAATATAAAAGAATTTGGGAAAGGTTTGGATAAAAAATAGACATTACCCTTGAAGTAATGACTGTTTATCTTTTTTTAAGAAAACGCATAAGTGCAGCCTAAGTCAGCCGCTTCTCCACCACAAAAATTGTCAAGGCCGAAGGTTAGGTATAACACCCAATGGCACGACCCCATATCCGAAATTCAATTTCTTTGTTTCGTCGCCCAGCCATGCGAGCGCCTCTATATCATCGGGCTACCTTGCATGTCCATGTCTCAGTTAGATGCATATTCTCTCTATTTACCACTAAGAAAATCACTTAATACCACATTGATTATTTTCAAGGAGTGGTAGTGGTTTATAAGGCCAACATAATCACATTAATTAAATTGGCTTTAAGTTGGGCTTGAATTATAGAATTTTTGGGCTTCGTGCCAGGTCGCTCAACACACACCCTTTGACCCATCAAACACTCACCCCTCACGCAAGGGGGGTCAAGTGCCAAAATTTGGCTACGTATGCAGACCCAACCACCAGGGGGGGGGGGGGGGTCAAGCATGACATCATCCCAGGGGGGTCAAGCATGATGTCATGTAAGCGGGGTCAAGCACTATATTGCCTACATATCTTGCGCTAGGGGGATCAAGCACCAAGTACGATGGACGCCTACCTACCTTGCCCTCGGGTATTAAGCATGTGGCCATGCTAGGAGTGTGATGTCAAACTA